GTAGAAAGACAAGTTTTTCATGCCTACAGTCAAGCATGGTGGTGGGAGAGTCATGGTCTGGGCCTGCATGAATGCTGCCGGCACTGGGGAGCTACAGTTCATTGAGAGAACCATGAATGCCAAAATGTACTGTGACATACTGAAGCAGAGCATAATCCCCTCCCTTCCGAGACTGGGACGCAGGGCAGTATTCCAACATGATACCGATCCCAAACACAACTCCAAGATGACTACTGCATTGCTAAAGAAGCAGAAGGTAAAGGTGATGGACTGGCCAAGCATTTCGCCAGACCTAAACCCTATTGAGAATATGTGGGGCACCCTCAAATGGAAGGTGAGGGAGCGCAAGGTCTCTAACATCCACCAGCTCCATGATGCCGTCATGGAGGAGTGGAAGAGGACTCCAGTAGCAACCTGTGAAGCTCTGGTGAACTCCATGCCCATGAGGGTTAAGGCAGTGCTGGAAAATAATGGTGGCCACACAAAATATTGACATTTCTGGCCCAATTTGGACATTTCCACTTACGGGTGTTCTCTCTTTTGTTGCCAATGGTTTAGACATTAATGGCTGTGTGTTGAGTTATTTTGAGGGGACCTCAAACGTACACTGTTATACAGGCTACTACTACTTTACATTGTAGCAGAGTGTCATTTCTTCAGTGTTGTCACATGAAACGATATAATAAAATATTTACAAAAATGTGAGGGGTGTACTCACTTTTGTGAGATACTGTATGTGTGAGCGCTGTTTCTGGTATTACCGTATTTCACACATGGCTTCTTTATTTTGGTTTTATTTTTGTTAAATAAATCATGTCATGGTGTAATATGTTATGTATTGTTGTTCGTCTATTGTATTTACCTAATTTTAAGACCTACTAAGGAACAAATGATTGTTAGTATATCCTTCCTGATATGTCAAACCTTTTTCAAAGAGGTGTACTTTTGCTTTCACATGACTGTATGTCGGTCTATCTATGGTGTTATGTGTATATATGTAGATTGTTTGTGGTATAGATTACAAGTGGGCTGTCTATGATGATAAAGGATTACTCCAAGCACCATGACCACTTCAGTTATTTGAAGTCTGTACATTCAGCATTTTGCACATAACGAGATTAACTCCTCTGCTGCCATAGGTGTAACTCCACTGCCTGCAGTGTCATTGGGCATCATTGACCAGCCAGAAACAAGAGATCTGTGCTGACTAATATCAATTGTGTGCAAATGTGGTGTCTGATGTCAACAGCATGTTAGCACCAAAAAGTCAAAGGCTGTACTGAGTCACTTCAATGTTGCCCATGTTACCCACTAAGTTCACCCTGCCCTGTTTTAAAGCCTTCCAGACCCTGCAGGAGCTTGCTGTGTGATTAAAGTTCAAATTACAGAGCAAGAAATAAAAACTCCTAAAGTAAGTTAACATCTGATTAAAAAGGAACCATTTTTGCAGACTGTGTGTGAATCACAAGCCAGGGAGATGTGGCTTAGGCCGCATGGACAGAAACAAAATGGCAGCACAATAGAGCAGTGAGACTGCAGGGGCATGAACTATACACGAAAACTACTTCATTTAGGTACAGTTGTTTTGATGCCTATAGTATCCTTCTAACCTTTTTTATATTGTACCCCATTACACACTCATGCCAATCGAAGGAGAAACATTTCTATTTTTACTTCTCTCTCTGTGCTCTTTCCTTTCTATAGGCTCTTTCTATATTGACTTATAGGTACAAAGGGCAGCGTTTATAACAATGATTGACAGGAAGCAAAGTTGGAGATTCTCAGTTCAGTAACAAAGGTGTAAAACTCTGTGTGAAACTCAACATTTAATTTCATTTTGCAGACATCACAAACACTTGTCTGTTAAAGGACAAAAGTCACGTCAAAATAGTATTTTAATGTAATAATCCTTTCATCAAGTAATTTTCAAGATTTTCTAAATTAAGCATATGTGAAAAAAGTTCATCCCTACCTTTAGAATATGATATTATCATTCAGCCATATAATGCAACTTTGGTAACACAAAGTGAGACACTGACACACATGCAAATATACAGACACATGTATACACACTGACACACACAGAGATACACATTCTGACAACATACACACAGATACATACTGACACAAAAATAGACAGACAGATACAAACATAGACACACATGCAGGTACACACACTGTGTCACGATTGCTAGTGTGGTCCAACACGCAGAAACTATGTAAACATATACATACAAAAGGAAAGGAAATAAAAGGACAGAGCATAAACTGGACCTTAGAATGGCCGGACTAATACGCTAAAGATAGAGAATGGTCAAAGGGAAAGCCGAGGTCAAGGAAGCCATAAATACTCAGATACCGTTTAAACAAGCCAAGTCAGGGGAACCAGAATTAGGAATAACCAGGGAAAAGCCAAGATCAGGATACCAGGAAGTAATATTCACAAAGATAAATGCAGGGAACCAGGAACAGGAAAGCACGACAGGGCAAGGTACTGGGGTGAATTAGGGATTTAAATACCCCTCTCTAGGCTCTGATTGGTCAGAGGGTGACCTCTGACCCCAGAACGTGCGCGTGCTTTGACGTTGTGACGTCACGCGCACGTTCGTATAATTTTGGGGGGTGGAGCCTTGGATGGACGTGACCTCAGGGTCGGTGCCATCTTGGATTTCCCCGAGCGGCGTGGAGGAACGGTTCCCGGCTCGCCGCTGAGCAGGTAAGCTCAGTGAGTTGGTGCGGTCGTGCCGGTCGGGTACGGATGCACATGGCGGCGAGCCGGGGCCGTGACAGTACCCCCCATTCGAAGACCACTCACCGGGCGGGAAGGAGCCGGCTTGTGAGGAAAATGGTTGTGAAGTGACCGGACAAGACGGGGAGCATGAACCTGGTCCGCAAGAACCCAACTACGTTCCTCCGTCAACCAGATAAGACAGAACACCTCTAGAGAACTTGGAGTCTAAAATCGTTTGGACTTCGTACTCCTCTTGATTACCTGCTACCAAGGGCGGAAGGAGGAATAAATCATTTTTGTGTATTGATTGCAAGTGAGGGGCTTAAGCAATGATACATGGAAGGAATTAGCAATTCTCATATGAGCAGGGAGTGCCAATGAATAACTCAAAGGGTTTATAAGACGGAGGACACGTAAGGGACCTATGAATCGAGGAGCTAGTTTCATGGAAGGAACCTTGAGTTTGATATGATGTGTGGACAACCAAACCCTGTCCCCCACTTGATAAACAGTATTGGCACCCCGTTTCTTATCAGCTTGAACTTTGGTACATTTAGAGGCATTCTGTAATGCTGAATGAACAGAATCCCAAGTGTCTTGGATAGAAGTCAAACGGGTGTTTAATTCAGGGTGATTCAGGAAGGTAAAATAGTGGGGTGATAACCTTGATTTACAAAAAATGGACTCTGACTCGAGGATTCGTGAGTCGCATTATTTCTAGCAAATTCAGCCATGGGTAAGAGTTCGAACCAATTGGACTGATTGGCATCGATAAAGCAACGCAAATAGGATTCTAAAGATTGATTGGCTCTTTCTGCGGCGCCATTAGTCTGAGGGTGGTACGAAGAGGAAAATGAAAGTTCTATGCCCAACTGTTTACAGAAGGCATGCCAGAACCTAGAGATAAATTGGGTTCCTCTGTCAGAAACAATGTTTTTTGGTACTCTGTGTAAGCGAAAGATTTCCTTTATAAAAATTTGGACTAGATCTTGAGCAGATGGCAATTTGTTAAGAGGTATAAAATGTGCCATCTTGGAAAATCTATCTACAACCATGAGGATGGTGTTATGCCCATTAGAACTGGGAAGTTCCACAATAAGATCCATGGCTAAATGGGTCCATGGAGCATCGGGTATCGGAAGAAGCTGTAGCAACCCAGGGGGAGATCGATGAGATGTTTTAGAAACCGCACATATTTGACATGCCCCTACATAGTCTTTCACGTCACCTCTGAGTGTAGGCCACCAAAATATTCTGGAAATAGCAGAGAGAGTTTTATGTATTCCAGGATGTCCTGCTGTCAGATTATCAAGAAACGCTCCAAATACTTTCTTCCTTAATAAGGGTGAAACATACAGTTTGTCCTGGGGTTTCCCCACGGGTGCCTGAGTTTGATCTGCTATTATGGCATCAAAGAGTGGAGAAGATATTTCATTAACTGTAGTAGCGATAAGACATTCTGGAGGTACGATCGGTGATACCTCTTGTTCAGGGGCTTCATCTGTCTCAAACTGTCTAGAGAGTGCATCTGCCTTGGTATTCTTTGTCCCGGGCCTGTATGTAATTATAAAATTAAACCGGGAGAGGAATAATGACCATCTAGCTTGTCGGGAGGACAATCTCTTAGCATCCCCAATATAAGCCAAATTCTTATGATTGGTTAAATCAAAAGTGGCTCTTTGGAACCTTCCAAGAGATGCCTCCATTCCTTAAGGGCGAGAACAATGGGCAGTATTTCCCTATTCCCGATGTCATAATTTCTCTCTGCTGGAGTTAATTTTCGAGAGAAAAGGCCACAGGGATGTAACGGCGCATCAGGACTCTCTCTTTGAGACAGAATGGCTCCTACTTCTGTCTCTGAAGCATCTACTTCTAAAATAAAAGGTTTGGTTGGATCAGGGTGCGTCAGGACAGGTGCTGAAGCAAATAAAGATTAATCTTTCAAATGCCTCCTTTGCTTCTTTGGACCATAAATTACAACTTGCTCCTTTCTTGGTTAGGTTGGTAATAGGAGCGATTACTGATGAAAAATTCTTAATGAACTTACAGTAATAATTTGCCAAACCTATAAAGCATTGTGTAGCTTTAAGGCCTTTGGGTAACGGCCATTGCAAGACTGCTTCCAGTTTGTGTGGGTCCATTTTGAAACCAGAAGGGGATATAACATAGCCAAGAAACTGTATCTCAGTCTGGTAAAACTGGCATTTTTCCAACTTACAGTATAAGCCATTTTTTAACAGGGTTTTTAGTATGATTCTCACATGTCCATGATGAGTTTCTAGGTCTGGGGAATAGATGAGAATATCGTCTAGATACACTAGTACGAATATGTGAAGATATTCTCTAAGGACATCGTTAATCAAGTCCTGAAATACCGCTGGGGCGTTGCATAGGCCAAACGGCATGACCAGGTATTCATAATGTCCCATTCTCGTATTAAACGCGGTCATCCACTCATGCCCTTCCTTAATTCTGACTAGGTTGTATGCGCTCCTCAGATCGAGTTTTGTGAATACTCGGGCACCCCTCAACCTATCAAATAGCTCAGAAATAAGGGGAATGGGATAGGCGTTTTTAACAGTAATTTTATTTAGACCCCTATAATCAATACAAGGGCGTAGGTCTCCTTCTTTTTTAGAAACAAAGAAGAACCCAGCCCCAGCAGGTGAAGAGGATCTTCTTATGTGACCCTTTTTGAGAGCATCCTTAATGTATTCTTCTAAACAAAGGGTTTCTTGAGGAGGAAGGGCATAAACTCCTCCTTTAGGGGGCATAGTGCCAGGTAACAAATTAATGGCACAGTTGTAGGGCTTATGTGGAGGTAATACCTCTGACTGAACCTTGTTAAATACTTCTTTTAAGTCCAAATACTGCGGTGGGATTTCTGTGGTTAAGGGAGGTGCTATAGGTACACTGATGGTACCAATTTGTTTAGGCACCTGTTTTAACCAATGACCTCTGCAACTCTTTCCCCAACTCACAATCTCTCCTTCAACCCAATCTAGACATGGATTGTGTTTCTGGAGCCAAGGAAAACCGAGTATTATTGGACATGTAGGGGAAGATATAATTTGAAAAACCATTTCTTCAGAATGTAAGAAGTCTACTGAGACAGTGATTGGTATAGTTTCATGTGTGATAAGAGGTTGAGTAAGAGGTCTCCCATCGGTAGCCTCTACTGCTATGGGTCTGTCTTTCTGCCTTAAAGGCAGAAGATGTTTGGCAGAAAATTCCTTATCAAGGAAATTCTCTGCCGCCCCAGAGTCAATCATGGCCTCAGACTGAACAGTAGTTTTCTTACAAAACAGAGTGAACCGGACAAGAAAACCTCTGATGTCTTTTTTTGCCACAATATGGACACAACCCCTCGTTGCGTCTGTATTGTCTCTTCGCCTCAGTCAATGCCCAATTGCATGGGTTCGGCTTCTGCAGGTGGAGCATGACTAACAGTCACTGGGTTAGAGAAACGAGGAGCTATAGACAAGTTTGTACATCTAGTACGCTGTTTGTTTTTCTCCCTCTCTCTGAGCCTGTTGTCAATGTCAATCATGTATGCAATAAAATCATTAAGATTAATCGGAAGGTCTCTGGCAGCGGTTTCATCTTGTATATTTTCCGCTAAACCTTCCGAAAAAGCAGCTACCAAACCACTATTGGCCCAGTCAACCTCAGAAGCTAATGTCCTGAACTCTATGGCGTAATCAGCTACAAAGCGGGTGCCTTGTTTTATTCTCATTAAGACTCTGGCAGCATTTTTCTCTTTTCCCTTTGGCTCAAAAGTGGCTTTAAATGCCGTTAAAAATTCATTATAATCACGGGCAACTGGATTTCCACTCTCCCATAAGGGATTGGCCCAGGTTAAGGCCTTGCCTATTAAATGGTTCATAAGATAGCCAATCTTTGACCTATCTGTAGGGAAGGAACCAGGGGAAGCCTCAAAACGATATTCAGTTTGGTTAAGGAAACCTCTGAATTCTTTAGAATCACCTCCAAAACGCGGGGGAGGTGAAAGGGTTATGGATGGAGGTTTATATACTATAGGTGCAGGTATAGGTGGTGGAACTACAGGTGGTACCAGGGGTGCCTCCAGATAAGCAGTTCTCTGGAGCAAGGTCTGGAACGCTTGGGCAAACTGATCTAACCTGTGGTCCATATCCATATCATATGTTTACATAGTTCCGCAGGATCCATGGCCCTGTCGTAATGTCACGGCTGCTAGTGTGGTCCAACATGCAGAAACTATGTAAACATATACATACGAAAGGAAAGGAAATAAAAGGACAGAGCGTAAACCGGACCTTAGAATGGCCGGACTAAAAAGCTAGAGATAGAGAATGGTCAAAGGGAAAGCCGAGGTCAAGGAAGCCAGAAATACTCAGATACCGTTTAAATAAAAAGTTGGGGGAACCAGAATTCGGAATAACCAGGGAAAAGCCAAGATCAGGATACCAGGAAGTAATATTCACAAAGATAAACGCACTCTAGGGAACCAGGAACAGGAAACCACGACAGGGCAAGGTACTGGGGTGAATTAGGGATTTAAATATCCCTCTCTAGGCTCTGATTGGTCAGAGGGTGACCCCTAACCCCAGAACGTGCGCGTGTGTTGACGTTGTGACGTCATGCGCACGTTTGTATAATTTCCCCGAGCGGCGTGGAGGAACGGTTCCCAGCTCGCCGCTGAGCAGGTAAGCTCAGTGAGTTGGTGCGGTGGTGTTGGTCGGGCACAGACGCACATGGCGGCGAGCCGGGGGCCGTGACACACAGACACACATGCACATACACATATAAATACTGACACACACACACAGATACACACACATACAAATACACACACTAACAGATAGACAGTCCCATAGATGCAAAGACTGACACACATACAGATACACATACTGACACACAGAGTGACAGACATACAGATACAGACACACAGAGTGACAGACATACAGACACACACACACTGACAAACATAACATGCAGGTCAAAATTTAAACTTTCATAGAACAACCTGCAGTTTCCTACTGTTACCGTAATCAATTGCAGAAACCAAACACAGAGAGATGGAGGCAGGTCTTCAGGAAGTAAAAATGTTCTTTATTCATACTGATCGGGTCTCAGATGAACTTCTGTTCCAAAAATGTCTGAGAGCCAGAGCACAGATTGCAGAAGCTTTTTGTTAACAGCATATCCCCTCCCATACAGTATAACCCCTCCTATATTCCTCAGACCAATCAGGATATTCAGGATCACCTTATATGGGCAGACTACATGGTTCATCTGAGACAAAGGAATGTGCTTTTCACTTCCGCACATGCTCAGTACACTGATGACTCATCCAACTGTTTGTAATCAGATAGTTATCAGCATAGGCCATGTGGAGATTTGGCCTACTAAATTTTGACCATGCTGGAATCCCATCACATTCCCCCCTTTGATGCCTCGGATATAACATTATTCCAGATGCATCACTAATCATAATCTACCAACACCACTCAAGTAACCATGAACCAGTACAAACCTTGTAATCATTCTAACTTAACTTTGTGCTCTTTCAACATTCCTCATCCTGATTATTCTCTCTCTGGGCTAGGGGTTCATAATTCCAGACAGCCATTACATGGGCAGCTGTCTTTCTTTCTAAAGTGCTCTCTATAACACTACGTATAGACCTGACCACTAATGGGATTAGGCAGGGCAGGAGGAGGCATAAGAATATAATAAACACTACTCCTCCTACTAATGCTTTAATCCCACCTAACTGCTCATACCAACTCCCAAACCAACTATTTGGATTATACCCATTCCAGATTTGAGTAGGTACATGCGTCAGTTTAACCATGTGGCTGGTAAGGTCAACCACTGCCTGCCCCTCATCATTTATATGCAGACAACAATTACTGAGGTTAAACTTTCTGCACACACCTCCTTCTACTGCCAGCAAATAATCAAGAGCCAGCCTATTTTGGTAAATGGCTGATCTCATACAGGTATTTTGCTTAGCCAAAAGGTTAAGTGCTTTAGCTGTGTCGTTGTTTATGATCTCAACCAGCGCCTGTAATCTTATAATGCGGTTGAGCATATATATGGGTGTTCTATAACCATATGTGCCATCTTCCGCCCAGGTAGCAGGTCCATAATAATTAATAATGTGCTGAGGGGGCCACTCATCATCTTCCCAACTACCTATGTTCAATGATGCTCGTTTCTTTTTATGATTCACATCATAAACCTTAACTCCCATGGTCTCTCCTGTTTCAATTGGCAACAAGAAGAAGGATGGTTTGAGCATACCTAGCACACATGCTCCTTCCCAATCTTGTGGTAACTCCGAATATTCCTTCTTACCACAGATCCAGTATAAATTTGTTGGGGCTCTCCTATTAGATGTAACAGATAGATCAAACCATACCTCTCTCAAATTGGTGTAATTGGCAAAAGGATTAGTAGGTTCCTAGACATTTGAAGCTGACCACCAAGTAGTATTTTGAGTACTAGCATTATAGGCCTTCTGTCCCAAACATGTTAACTCTCCAACAGGTGTATTATACATTGGACCTCCTCAAGCTAAACATACATGACCTATTATAGATGTCTATTAAACGCCATTCTGATTTTTCCCTTACATTTACTTGATGGCCAGTTTGGGAAGGCATCTGTTGTTCAACTGTCTCAGAACCAGAGTACCATACTTCTTTTGCCTCCCATGGCCATTGGTCTCCCATATTTGTGCCTCCATATACAAAGCAGTTAGTTATATTAAGACTACCTGCAATACTCTCAGCCAAATCAATAAACAGGTTCTTAACATTATGGGGAATGTTATCCTCAACACTCATCTCCTCATAAAAGGAATGCAATACCTGATGAGTCTGAGCAACTGTTGTCTCGGTTTGAAGACCTACATATATTATGGCTCCTGGATCTGCTCCTGCACCATGTATCTGAGACCCAAAAAGATTCCCAAACTTGTCAGTGAATTGCTGTGGATTAGAAATGGTCATATGCACGGGGTTACACTACATAGTTTTACAATACGGTGTAGTGGGCAACCTTTGGATAATCATATCTTGATCTACTGTTTTTCCCCAGGTCGCCCAACTTACACATGACCAATTTGGACAGAAGTTAAAGTCTCTATTTGGGCAATCAGGATCAGTAGATCTTTTGCTGGGGCATAAATACTTATCGTTAAACCCTTAAGTCCGTTCCCATTTAAGATTACCGCATACATTCCAAGGTTTTCTGCTACCCAAAATCGCCTTACATGCATCAAAAAATAGAATACCCGTGGAAAGTTTGGTGCTTATCTCAGTCCTATTTATTAATGTCCCCTGGGAGTTACTATTCCAAATTACCAACCAAATTGTATGGGGTTGGAATTGGGGATCGAAACACTTAGGCTCACCTGATATCGGTCGACACACACTATAATCGGTATCTAAGTACCTACACCTAGACACAGATCCTCTACATTCATATTGTGAGTGTCAAATAAGAGTTTGGGATATTTGGTTACCTGTTTTCGTAGTCTTAATACAACTAACACAGCTTGGAATATCTTCACCTTTACCTTTCTGAAAAATTATAAACATACTAAAACACATAATTAACCCCTTAAGGACACATGACGGAAATATTCTGTCATGATTCCCTTTTATATCAGAAGTTTTGTCCTTAAGGGGTTAAGCACATCATTCTTGTGGTCCTCATCTTATTCTTCAACCGTGCGACGGCACCTCAGCTTGCCGCTTGTGAGGGCTGCAAGGATTGTTGTCCTTCTGACCCTTACTTACCTTCACAGAGGTCCCTTTGAGACACTCTGACTATGACAAGTAGGCAGGTGGTCAGGCTTTATTATGGCCGTCAAAAGACCTACTTGCTGATTTCCGATCATGTTTCCAACCAAGATATTTCAAAAATCACCTCGTACTTCTCAAGTCACGCTCAATCCAACTGGGTTATGCGCTTCAACTGAATCTTGCAAGGATTCTTAGGATCTGGAGTAGCTTGCCAGGAATCTGCCACTGGTTTAACCCTAGAGTGATGGATCCAAGGAGTCACCTCTGCCACCTTTACAGCTGTTGGGGTAGATAAAAAGAAAAACATACAAAGGCTAACAGGATATACCCCAAGCTTTAACTCAATATGTATAGGTGGGATGTTACGAGCAAGTCCTGGAGGATTATTTTCTGCCCATGCTCCTGGAATGTCAAATAAAGTTCCATCACTCTTAGGGTTTGCATTTTTCATTACAGAATAGAAATGCCATTCTTCTTCTTTTGGCACCAATACCGCTATCATGCCTGGTGATTTATTAAACTTCAGAGACGTTGATCCATTAGGTAGAAAAGTTATCTGAGCTTGAAGCTTTGATAATAGATCTCATCCTAGAAGTTGAACTGGACACTCTGGCATATACAGGAACTGGTGCTTAACAAAATGGCCTCCTAGAATGCAAGTACGACTCCTGAGAATCGGTCTAGCATTGCTTTTCCAAGTAGCTCCTATCACAGTTATAGTCTTTCCGGAAGGAGTAGCTACCAATTTGGTCACCACATAATGCTCAGCACCTGTGTCTATCATGAAAGGACTTCTCTTTCCCCCTATTGTTACGTCGACCATAGGCTCCACTCGGCCAAGGGGGATGGAGCCCGGTCGGTATCATTAGTCCTCCATGACTGTATCAGCCAGACCCACAAAATCTCTATCTTCCCTATCCCTTGATCTCTGGGTAGCGGGATAATATCTACCTCCCTGATTCATACACCTTATTTGCAACCTCCATTAACTGTGATATGGACATCCCTGTAAATCCCTCTAACTTTTGTAATTTTCGTTTAATATCACTCTGGGCCTGGCTGACAAAGACTGAATTAATCATTTGGGAGTTTTCAGAGGCTTCAGGATTGAAAGGAGTGTACAATCTGTATGACTCAAGCAGTCTCTCATAAAAGGCACTAAGTGACTCATCAGTTTTCTGCAACACTTCAGCCGTCCTGGACATATCAATTGCCTTTTTCCCACCTGCCTTCATGCCAGTAATAATGGATTGTTGATAGGCCTTCAAATGGGGCATGTCAGCGCCATTAATGTTCCACTTTGGATCCGTATTGGGAAAATGGGCAGTGGCCCATGCGACTGGATTAGCCTGGTTTTGAGTACGGGCTGTTTCCTCAAGTGCCTTAATGGCCCCTTAATTAATCCTAGTCCTTTCCTCAGGGCCAGACTGGGAATTAAAAGCAGCCCTGGAAAAATATTTACCAGCCCCATAATGCGTCGCGCCAGCATAGTGTGCAGATACAGAGTTAGAAAAGATAACTTAAAATGAAAAAGTACTTCAACGTAAAAAGCGCACTCATAGGCTTCAAAATAAACAAAAGTGCAGATTTATTTTAAGCCAACGTGCCTTTGCATGTAATCAATGTTTCAGTCCAACTACCTTGACATATTAAGGAAAGCTTGTTAATGGGACTGAAATGTTAAATGTATGTAGGGCACAACTGTAAAAATGTTTATTTTGAAGTCCTGTGGGTGTGCTCTTCACTTTAAATATGTTATTGTGCTGGAGTATGCACCTAGCAACAAGACTGGGCCAATATCTGCTCATTACATATGGTACATATTAATGAAATTTCTCTGTGTATTATGCATTTATAAATGTACATTAATATGTGTAAATATATATATATATATATATATATATATATATATATATATATATATATATGTGACAAAAGTACTCCTTTCCCTTGGTACCTTGTCCTGGGATTGGGGTGTTACACACAGTCTTTTCAGGCTTTAGAGACACTTCACACGCTGGATGAGGTAAACTGACTTGCTCTTTTATTGAGGTTCCAAAATAAATGCACAGTAAGGTATAAAGGTAACAAAATATATCAAACAAAAGCCTTGCTCTTCTGAGCACTAACTAAACAAAATAATCAGCTAACTGGGTTGGATGGCTTGTCCATTTCCCAACATAAACATAAACATAAACATAAACATAAACATAAACATAAACATAAACATAAACAGCCTTACTGCTTCAGGGTTTTCAGCTCTCTGTTTCCACTCACAGAAACCAAACACAATTCCCAGATTTTACTATTAACATGACGTAAAGTCATGATTTTATTAATGACACGGAGGCTCCTATTATGCTATCTCTTTCTTACTTTATTCCTCAGCAGCAAAGAGAAATATAAAACTGAAAGAGAAAAAATGTAGATATGCAATAAAATAATAACAGGTACAACCAGATCTGCCTAGTAACAGGGCAGCCAATCAGTCTCTAGGAACAGTCCATAAATCTCTATCCTTGTACTTCCACTTCCTCTTCTTTGCCTTCTGAACCGAAGACCCAAAGCAAAATATCCAAGCAGTAACTAAGAAACGTCAAACCGGTAGACATCCACAGACCGGAATCAAGCTGTAAAACAAAGAAATATGTGGTAAACTCCAAACTTAGGAACTGAGTGCAACATATCGAATATACGTGACCTGCAAATAGAGAGCATCATACTCAAATTCATGTACATATGTCACACTCTAAAACACCATATGTTCAATACAAGTAACACATGTGCACTTACCGTGAGATAAGACAAACCCCCCGATTGAACCCAAAGCGAAAAACCAGACCCAGACCCACGGGAGGGTGGGTGGGAATAATACTCGCCTCCGTGTCATTAATAAAATCATGACTTTACGTCATGTTAATAGTAAAATCTGGGAATTTTATTAATGACACGGAGGCTCCTATTATGCTAGTTTAAAGCTGAGCCACAACCAATGAAGAAACATGTTCAATCGGGCGGAAATAAAAATCACGGAACGTAGATTCCTTAGACCAATCTGCCGCTTTCAAGATATCGTCCAGGCGACATCCTATCGTAGAAGCCTTTGATGCCATGGCACCCCTAACTGAATGAGCCGAAAAAATCGAAGTATCGATACCCGCAGCCGAGAGGAGGTCTTTAACCCAGCGGGCAAGCGTCGGCGACGAGACCGGTAGAAACGGTGCTTTCAAGGAGATAAAGAGTGGAGGCAAGTCAGTTGACCTCAGCAGCCGGGTACGATCCAAATAAGCCTGGAGACAAGCCACAGGACACAAAGCAGGTCTGATGGAGCATCTAGGGTAGTCCACCGACTTGGAAGCCGACTTAGTCCTCCTCGAGATATTAAACGACACACCTCCGGGGGTGAACGAGACCGCGTTCCAGTCCAGAGCCCTGACGTCCGACACCCTCTTACACGAAAGTAGACACAGAAGCATGACCAGTTTCCATGATAACTGTTTGAGTGTCAAGTCCTCATTACAGGGCCAGGAGTCCAAGAATCCAAGGACGACGTTAACGTCCCAAAACGATGAGTATCTAGATCTTGGCGGTCTAGCAAAACGGATACCTTTCAACAAGCGGCACACGATAGGATGTTGTCCAATCGGAGATCCGTCTATCCCTTGATGTCCGGCCGAAATGGCTGATCTATAAACATTAAGGGTACGATAAGCCAAACCAGAATCGAAACGTTCCGTCAGGAAACCAAGCAGCGCATTTAGAGGGGCAGAAAGTGGATCCAGCAATCTTCCCAAGCACCAGCCAGACCACACGCGCCATGCGGTCCTGTAAGCCGCTCTGGTACCTGGTGCCCAGGCATTCTCCAATAGTCGAGCAGTTGTCTGCGAAACGTCCGTGACACACCAGGGTCTCCCGAGATTAGCCAAGCCGTGAGTTGAAGTAAGTTCTGATCCACCAATTCGTGCAATTTCCCATCCGGATCCAGAAGTACATCCGGCCTCATTTCGATTATCCGTGGGAAATCTATGGCCATCTCCAGAAGGCGGGGAAACCACGGTTGAGAGTGCCAGAGCGGAGCTACCATCACTATTGTGCAATTCTGTCCGGCCGAGTACGCCAGTGTCCGGGATATCAGGTTGAACGGTGGGAACGCATAATGGCGTCCCGGCGGCCACGTCTGCAAGAACGCATCCACTGCCGTGGCCGCTGGGTCCGGTCTCCAACTGAAGTACTGGGGTAGTTGGGTGTTCAATCTGGACGCGAACAAATCCAGGTGAAGTGGACCCCACAACCGTTCTATCCTTTGAAATGTTGAGGACAGCAAGTGCCAGTCTCCTGAATCCTTCAGGTAGCGCGAGTTCCAATCCGCCCACTCGTTGTCCAGACCCGGAATGTGCTCGGCCGTAACCGATACAGCATTGTGTAGGCAATACCGCCAGAAATCCTTTGCCAAGTTCGCCAACTGCTTCGATTTTGTCCCCCCGAGATGGTTTATGTACCTGACAGCGGACACATTGTCCATACGTAGGAGGACGCAGCAATTTCCCTGCGTCGGAGATAGACTTCGAATGGCAAACGAACCCGCCAGAAGTTCCAGGCAGTTTATGTGCAGAGCCGATTCGATCTCTGACCATCTTCCACCGGTGGAGACACCGCCACAGCGAGCGCCCCAGCCATGCAGGCTTGCGTCCGACTCTATTATCACATCCGGCGCGGAGCCGAAGATCGCCCGGCCGTTCCAGGCCTCCATGTGGTCCAGCCACCACCTTAGTTCGTCTCTGGAGTCCCTGTCCAGGGTCAACACGCTCTCGTACGAGCCCCCTGAGCGAAGATGGGACCCTTTCAAACGTTGGAGTGCTTGATAATGCAGTGGGCCCAGAAAAATTGCCTGAATCGATGAGGCCAACAGGCCGATCACCCTCGCCAATTGCCGGACGGAGAGAGAGGTGGCTCGCAGCGCCCGTCGTATCTCCTTTTTCATCGATCGGAGTTTTGCCTCCGGGAGGAACAGACACTGGGTGACTGAATCGACCTCGAAGCCCAGGAACTCTATCCTTTGTACCGGGGTCACAATGGATTTTTCCCAGTTGACGAGGAAACCTAGTTTCTCCAGGAGACTCACCGTCCATCTCAGGTGCCTGAGAAGTTGCTCGGGGGATGAAGACATAATCAGTATGTCGTCCAGGTAGATAATCATGCGGACCCCTCGTGCCCTGAGGAAGGCCACCACGGGCTTCATTACTTTCGTGAAGCACCACGGAGCTGAAGATAGACCGAACGGCAGACATGTAAAACGCCATCGACGACCTTGCCATGTAAAATGCAATAAGTCCCAATGCTCCTCCGCCATGGGTATAGTCAAGTAGGCATCTTTGAGGTCTAGTTTGACCATCCAGTCTCCCTGACGGAGCAGGTCCCTGAGACAATGAGCGCCCTCCATCTTGAAGTGATGGTAACGTAGGAAAGAATTGAGGTGTTTGAGGTTTATCACTGGACGTACGCCTCCGCCTTTCTTGGCGACAAGAAACAGGTTGCTTAGAAATCCCGGGTGTCCGTAGGGGATTTCTTGAATAGCCCGTTTGGCAGACAGTTCCGCGATCTCTGCGGTAATTAATCCGGCCTGCTCTGCCGGTAGTTTCAGCTCCTGTGGGAGAAACGTCTGGACAGGGGGAGACAATAAATCCAGGCGGAAACCTCTGACCGCACTGAGAACCCAAACATCCGTGGTGATCATACCCCACACATCGAGAAACAGTGCCAATCCGCCCCCCACACTCGTTCTGCAAGATACACGTGTTGGTGTACTCACCGTAAGGGCGTCTGTATGAGGGTTGTCCACGACCTCCCCGACTCTGCCATGGTCTCCCCCGTGAGGGAAAAAAGGGCGTTGGCTTATAGTCTTGGTAGGTCCGGGGGGCGGAAAAGGAACCTCTTTGAGTCCTCGGGGGACCTCGAGCTCCACGGCCGGGCGGACGGCTCCTATACCTCCCGGCCCCATGGGAAACCTTAAGGCCGAACACCCTCTTCAGGTTGGACTGCGCCTTATCGAGCGCGGTAAAGGTACGGACAAAGGAGCCTAAGTCCTTAACAAAACATTCTCCGAAGAGCATACCCTTGGCCGAAGCACCAGGCTCCTTCACTGCCAGGTTAACTAACTTGGGCTCAATTTTGAGCAGAATCGCCTTGCGGCGTTCAGCCGACATGGCTGTGTTCGCGTTGCCGAGAAGGCAAAATCAACCTCTGGACCCACCCAATCGCTTCATCAAAATCAATAGGCTTCGTTCCAGCCTTAGCCGCTTCCAGAAGCTCGTAAAGCTTGGCGGCGGGGCCCAGGGTATCCAAGATCTTGTCTTGGCAATTATGCAGTGAAAATTCCAGTCCTTTTCGGGGCTTCCAACCCGTCTTAGTTAAGAACTGAGAAATCTGGGGGTCAACCTCTGGCGTCTTGCACGCCGAATCAGGCACCGAAGGCCTTGGGCACTCGGCCCTCAGTTTACTGCGCCCCTCCTTGGAGAGGGGGGTACGCATACGAAGCGCCAGATAATTGGCAATATGCGCGGGCGGGTCCCATTCCGCCGAGCGGGGATGGCGAAGGTCATCGGGATCGAACAGGGGGTAACCCTGAGGATCACAGATGTCCTGCCCCTCACCTGGCGGAAGCGCCGAAGCGTCAAACTCCGCCTCATCGCCGGAAACCCCTTCCTCATAGGAGGCGTAATCAGGGGGATCCGAGTCTGACTCTCCAGTTTGATCGGTATCCGATCCATCATCATCTCGGGCACGTGCCCGTTTCCATTTTCTGGCCGATTTTGCCCGGCCAGCGGCTCTCTTGCGCGGAAACGCGCCATCTGGGACGGCCATAGGCACGTCAGTCAAGGCAGGTGTCACCTGCGTCCTCTCTGGAAAGACATGTTTACATTTTGTTTGTGCCTTGCGACCCATATGAGGCTGCAGCGCAGGCAGGGGAACAGGCAACACGGCAGGGCCCAAAGGTTGCGACAGCGCTTGCTGAATAGTGTGAGAGAGGGACGAGGACACTGTCCCCATGGCTGAAGCCAGGGCCTTCTGCATGGTGGAATCAAAAAGGGCCTGGAACTCCTGTGAGGGAGTAAGTCCCATACCCCCTGTAATAGGGGTCTGAGAGGAGTCCATAATGGGGTAACTGGGACTACCAGAACCCTCACTCCTAGCCTGCATAATTAACAGAGTCAAATAGAAACTGCAAGTACTGCCCCTTTAAATATCTGAGACAAGGAGCAGAGCAAATCTGTAAAACCTAAATAAGCTAAAACAGGTGACAGAAAATAAACCTACACAGTATAAAGGGTTGAGTAACCCACCAGGAACAAACGAACTATATATAAATACTTGCACACAGTAATGGGAGGTAAAAGGGAGCCGACCCAGCCGCGTGGAAACCGAGGGTAAGATGGCCGCCGCGCGCAGAACGCGCCGCGGCCGTTTCCAGGCTCCTCCCCCGCTAATGGACGGGGAGCGCGACCACACACGCGGCCGGCACTCCTCGCACTAGCGGGAGATCGGGTCGGCAGATAAGCGCGGCCGCACACGCGGCCGCGAGGGAAAGGGGACCGGGGAGCAGAGGGCTCCAGAATGAAACCTCCCCTGCTAGCCGCGAACCCTGTCTGAAAGGGGGACGGCCAGACAGACAGGGGAAGCGGCGGGTAAACGCAGGGGAGGCAAACAATATGTACCACCAAAAAAGGTATACAAATCAAAAGAACATCAACATAAAGCCTGTCAATAAAAGACAATAAGCAAACAGAAAACGATAACATAAAATAACACAGGCAAAAAAAAAAAAAACCTTAGTGAAACCCATCAATCAAAAACCAAGTAGGAGAGAAAATTATACTTAGCTGGTCTGAGGACAGCAGCAAAGAAAGAGGAAGTGGAAGTACAAGGATAGAGATTTATGGACTGTTCCTAGAGACTGATTGGCTGCCCTGTTACTAGGCAGATCTGGTTGTACCTGTTATTATTTTATTGCATATCTACATTTTTTCTCTTTCAGTTTTATATTTCTCTTTGCTGCTGAGGAATAAAGTAAGAAAGAGATAGCATAATAGGAGCCTCCGTGTCATTAATAAAATCTCCCTTCTTCCTTGGCAGGGGAGTACTTAACCCCTTAAGGACACAGCTTCAGAAGCTTGACTTACGCTTAATGACACAAGCAATTTTTGCATTTTCTTGCTGTTTGTGTTCAACTGCAATTTGCATCTCTCTCATTTATTGCACCGACACATATTATATACTGTTTTTTAAAGGACAGAAAGGGCTTTAATTTGATATAACATATATATATATATATATGCTTACTTATTATAAAAAAAAATACAGAAAAATGCAAAAAAAATGAAAAATATTGTTTTTTTTTTTACAGTTTTTGCAATAATAATGTGTGCATAATTAGTGCAGGTTAAGGAAAGTAATTAAAAATAAATTTATTTATTTGTTCTGATTTACAGAATATATAATGTGTCTGGGATTTTAAGTTTTTTTTGGTAGTTACAGGTCACAAAGCACAAGGAGTAAAATAAAATTTTAATGTGGAGCGATTTTAGAATTTGGTATGTTTGTCTTGTAAGCTTAATAGCCATAAAAGAAAACAAAATTGCCACACAAAAGTATATATTTATATAAAGTAGACATCACGGGCTATTTACCTAAGGTTGTTTTGACACTTTCTACGTAGCCATTTCACCGCCAACCTCTGCTAAATATTGGAGTAAAATTGTGTTCTTTTTGGTTTTTGGCACACAAACTTATAACAGAGAAATTCTCGTGTATATTTTGTAAAGTTGGTGTGTGCTATTCCTGTACAAAGTTTTATTTTGTGTTCAGTTACATCTGCTGAGTAAAATGACACCCCCATTGTATGTCTTTTGCACTATTTCGTGAAGTTACAGTGCCATACAGGATACCTGTCCTTTTCAGTATTCACAGTAGAATTTTGAGAGATGAATTTAATGAGCCTTAGCTTCCATTTGGGGTATTATAACAGTTTGACTGTTCAAAAAAACCCCACAAAGGCCTACCATTTGTAAAAGTAGACACTCCAGGGTATCTTATAAGGTGCATATTGTGCCTTAACATGCCCCCATTTTTTCACCAATATATGCCAAAGTATGTGGTAAAAAAAATTTTGTGCATTTTTTACATACGGATTGCATTTTTGCTGGGCGTTTTGTATATTTCATATGTGCCACTAAGTTCAAACCCCCCAAATTATGCTCAGCTAAGTCTTCTGAGTAAAATGACACCCCATATGAATGTCTTTGGCACTATTTCGTGAAGCTACAGTGCCATATAGGAGACCTGTCCTTTACAGTATTCACAGTAGAATTTTGAGAGATGGATTTAATGAGCCTTAGCTTCCATTTGGGGTATTATAACAGTTTGACTGTTCAAAAAACCCCCACAAAGGCCTACCATTTGTAAAAGTAGACACTCCAGGGTATCTCATAAGGTGCATATTGTGCCTTAACATACCCCCATTTTTTCACCAATATATGCCAAAGTATGTGGTAAAAAAATTATTTTGTGCATTTTTTACATACGGATTGCATTTTTGCTGGGCGTTTTGTATATTTCATATGTGCCACTAAGTTCAAACCTCCCAAATTATGCTCAGCTAAGTCTTTTGAGTAAAAATACACCCCCAATGAATGTCTTTGTCACTATTTTGTGAAGCTACAGTGCCATATAGGAGACCAAGCCATATCCGTTTTTACCAAACTTTGAATTTTGACGCTGGGCCTATGTGCAATTTCCAAGCATCTTCGCAGGTTTTAAATTCAATCTACCCCACAAAGGCCTACCATTTCTTAAAGTAGACACCCCAGGGTGTTTCAAAAGGTATAGTTTGAACCTTAGCGTGGGATCATTTTTCCGCTAGCTTGTACCAGATGTAGTGGTAATAAGCGTTTTTTCTGCCTTTTTGACATACAAAGTGAGTTTGCACAGTATATTTTGCAAACCTTATGTGTGCTACGACTGTATAATACTTCATATGTTGCTCAGCTATGTCGGCTGAGTACAGCAATACCCCCGTATGTACCTTTGCCAGGTATGTGTGGACATCGGAGGGGCACATTTGGGACACAGCCATTCCAGTTTTTTTCAAACTTTGAATTTTTATGCTGTGCCTATGTCCCATTTTAGAGTATTTTACCAGGCTATATAATCCAAATTCCCCATAAAGCCATACCATTTCTTAAAG